CCCAACATTGGCTGCCTCGTGACTGGGTGAAGTTATGATGAGTTCTGTTGGCTGCAGGGTGGGACACTGACTCAGAGTTGGAGACCTTCGCGACACAACCAACGGCCTTTCACGACTGGGTTTTCAGATGAGCACCGCAGAATGTTTGAAGCCCATTCTCTACACTCATCGACCGCAAAGGTTTGAAGCTGTTCCTAGGGTTTTTGTTAAGCCGTGAAGTCGAATTCATCGATCCGTCCAACCGGGAGCAAAACCAGGTCACTGTCGTGAGGTAGATATGTGTTCATGGTGTGAGGTCACGTGAGGTCATCGATCTGGGACCGTGGGACCGTCGGTTTCGCAGAAACAGGTCGAAAGTTGTACCGAGAAAAAACGTGGTAGGAGTCCAATCCAGGATGTCAAAGTGAGTTGTTTTTGGTGACACATCCGTTTGTTTCTGGTTGCTTGGACATCTTTGTTGTGTCCAAATCACCAGTTCATGGCCACTCCCCTTTTTGGACCCAAAAGGCGCATGTGCTGGTAACCGAAAACGTCACCTGCCGAGGCGCATCGCAGCATCCTTGCTGGGAAAGGGATGATCCGTGGTGTACCTCAAAGGTGCTTTTTGTTGGGCGCAGAGTGACCTTGGGACCTTCTGCAGCATGTTCCGACGAAGTGACTCCGACGAGATCTCCCCGAAGACTTGGCGGATCAGATACTGACATCAACAAAGACTGGGGATTTTGATCTATACCTGGATCTTCAAGTGTGGAACAATGTTTGCCGTTTATAGAACCAGAAAAGGCAGAATTATGATTGTTGCATAGTTGGAAGATCCAGGTATACAAAGGCCAAGCGACACTGACAGTCATCAATTTTAGTGAGGATCATGGAGTCATACCCTGGTAAATGGAATCAAAACGTCAAGCTTGGCCAGTTTTTCTTTAAATGTTTTTTGGGGTTTTGGTGAACTTAATGATCCTCAACAAGGAAATGACTTGTGACAAGCTCCCCACCAAGCCTAACAGGCGTGGACAGGGTAGGCATCCGCACCACCTGGGTTAGGTCACCCCTGAGTGGATATATATATATATAACTATATATATATATTGCGATTATATTATGTGTATAATATATATATATATTTATAACTATAATATAATATAACATAATATAACCCAGACACTCCATGTATGCCATATATGCCTACATTGACCCCCAAAACCACCGCAACTGATTGGCATATATGGCAGTCCCATGGCAGTCCCTGGGTAATAATATATATATATATGACTTGTCCGTTCCGAAAGGCCCAGTGGATGTGACTCTTGTCGTGTGCTTTGAGGTCTTTCCGACAGCAATGAACCACATCATCAGCCGAAACAGCAACAGATACCATAAGATGGTGTGAAAGAGGCAAGTGCGCTGCAAGACGGTGAAAGTCTGTAAGTTGTTTGGGACTGTCTATTTGTGTAAGTGTTGCATGCTCTTCGGGTCATCAGAAAGTCGACAGGTCCCCATTTGCCTCTAAAACACGGCTGAAACACCCCACTGGGCCCTAGCAGCTTCAGCAGGTCTTTCCACTACCAAACCGGGCCAAGGGGCCACCCGAAACGCTGGAAGGAACCTCGATCCGAAACCTGGTTGTTCGGACGGTGTGGACTCGAAAAGAAAAAGGAACCTGGATATCAACAAATCTATGGAGGTCCCTATGGATATCTATATAGTCTATGATGGTCTATGGATATATCTATATAGTCATGGATATCTCTATGGATATCTATACCAGGACCCTCCTGTCCGGGTGCCCCTGTCTGGAAGCCTTTTTCGGCAGTGTGGGGTAGTCCAGCCAGGACACCCCTTGATGGTCTATGTTTCATTGAATGCATTAATCACCTAAATTAAGAAGTAAATAAATGGATTCTACTGGATTATATAGCTGTGGGATACATGCGCATACAAATGATAACAGTCTGTGTTCCTCCAGGAGCCGTTTGAAATTGCCGCAAGTTATTACGATGCCGCTCATTGGAGATGAGGCAGCTGCAAGCGGACCGGGCACACAGGTACATATCGCAAACCAAGATTGAATAGACCCTGCATTGAATAAGAAACACTTTTAGCATATAAAGATTCAATATTAAATGGGTTGGTTCTATTCAGTTTTTGTCTGATATGCTAATATAACATATAAGTATATATATGGTTGTTATATGCTCAAAACATCTTCCGCTCGATGCTTCGCCCAGATGCATCACCCAGTCATGAAACATCCCTTCGTGAAGCCACAGGTCCATCGGCACCTGCCAAAGGGCGGTGGCCACACGCTGAGGCCACCCACCGAGTGTCGGTGACATGGTGGTTGACCCAAGTGTTCTGGTGGGAAGGAAACACGAGTCCTGTGTTGAAAGGAGAGGGCCACCGATGTTTTGTTCTTTTGGTTTCACCATGTTTCACCCCTTAGCTAAGGTGCCCGGCAGTGAGAGAAGAACCAACTCTCCACCCAAAGCAATGCTCACCATGCTCAAAACCCCGTGTTGGAAGATGAGGAAAGCTTTAAATCTGCCAGGAGCTTGAGATGGTCCATCGAAACATCTCAGCTGATCTTCTGATGTTCACATATGTTCACTTTCTATATAGACACCTAGTGTTGGTGACCAGCACCAATCTAAAAGCCAAAACAAACATGACATGGAACCAGCACATGAGTTTCCTTTACACAACTCCTGTGGCGGATTGTTGAAAAAACACTCCGCCCGACTGGACGAATGACCGAAACGGAGGTCTGGACACGGTCCGTGCCTCGGATGGATCCTGAATGGACCATCTATCCTGATCACTCCTTCCTGGTCCTTCGATCCTGGGCTTGCGAACAAGCATACCTAAGAAGCAATCGTTCGCCCAAGTGTTCGAGCAACACCCCCGAAAACGGATCTACCCTGCGTTCACTGCCCGGGCGACCTCCTGCACCTCGAAAACAATCGTCCGGACACCTCCCGGACACCTGGTGGAGTGGCGCGGAACGTCTCGTCCGGACACCGCGCACCGCGGAACACCGCGGAACGGTCGAGAGCCGTCTCGACGCTCCGCGTGATGAGTCAGGCCTTCCCCTGGAGCTGCTGACAGAAATCCAAGGTCTCCCCGCACAACGTCTCCGCCGCACCGGTGCAGATCCACATCTGGGCGGACACCGAGGAAGACGAAGACCAAGAGGGAGGGACACAGCCGGCGCGGGCAGAGGGGATGCAAGGAGTGGCGAAGCAGAAACTGGAGAGAAGGGGGGATAGTATCCCTGGAAAAATGGGTTCAGTTTCTGTAAGTTTGAAGTACGGAAACCCATTGAGCAATAGTGACACCTGCATGTCATTCAATTTCTCTTAGAAAGTTAGTCCAGGGTGACGATCGCGTCGGATAGGTCGCTGGGAGTCCCAAATTCCACACAGCTATAGTAGTAACTATCAGTACGGGGACCGAACTTCTTTTCCCGCGTTAGTTCGGTCACCAAATCTGCAAGTTCGGTCGGATGGGACTCCGAAAAGGTCACTCGGACATGAACATGCTTTATTCGATCAAGCTCCATTTAGCGCAATTAGCGCAGCACCATTCAAGACTCGTCTCCTGCCATCAACTTCCAATCAAAAGGAAACCCTCTTGCCTGAGGCATGCTGAGGCTCCACCCCAATCTGGGAAAATCTGGCATATTTCCCACCATTTACGCCATTTAAATACTATGATTATCAGTCCAACCTCTTGTGCAACTGGTCTCCTATTCCGTTCTTCGATCCATCTTCTTCTCTTCCAAAAACCCCACACTCAACTCAAGCACCCGGGTACTTTATGACGTCGCCATCCGTATGCCCTCAGTCCAACTCACTTCGACGAGGCACCGGAGGCGGCTTCGAGGTGCCCTCGGTCAGGCGTTGCAAGAGCCCCGAGTTGGCTCCGCGCGCCAACCAGTAGGGACTGTAGAGTCCATCCTGCAAGAACCACTCGCCGAAAGGGCAAAAACAAGGAGCTCTGCGGTAGAAAGGGATACCAGGTAGTATAGCTCGCGTGCGCACGTGCGCAATTACAAGGCATGCCTTTTCTCGAGCGGGTTGCAATTGGTGCGCGCGAGCGCACCATCACAAGCATTAGCCGTCGGTGATGTACTGCTCCTTCCCGCTCTTGCTATCATCCAGCGGGGTTAGAACTGATGGGGGATACCGGATACCTTTCCACAGTTGTACGCGCAGATTGATGTGTACAGAGTTGCTTGTGGATCTCGAATCATAAACCGAATCCTTGCATCAGAGTGGAAACCGAGTGCACGGGCACCTGCACCAAATAGTGGACATGAAATCAATGTTTGTCTGCACTTCTATGACATCACACCCCATCCAACAAGAGCTCCACCTCTGAGTCTCTTCTGCCCCCATCGCCTTCAAAAACTCCACGGAGCCAGTATAGGTCAAGCCCATCCCTTAGAGATGGCAAACGGACTGGGATCTCAGACACACTCATGGTGACTGGTGACTCATGTAGCTGTCTTATCCCTTTTGGGGGAAGCTCAGGATCCTTCCAAGCGCTTCCTTCGTTCTCGTTCCAGGCTGTTTTTCCATTTCGTCACCCGATTCGTCACCGAGACCGTACTCCTGACCTCATAACGCTCATAACGTCCGACTTAGGCAGACTTAGGCATGTTTCAGATAGTTGAGCGTTGCATCACGTTGCCATGTTTTACGAACCTTCCACTTCGACCAAAACCGTCCACCTGAATCCGGTCTTCCTACACGGCCACAACGGACCGAGACCGAACGAAGCCACCAACCGCGGTCCAGGCCTCCAAATTGGAAACCTCCATAGATTCCCGCTCAGTTGTGGTCCATAAGCAATGATTTGCATACCAACTCAAGACCTCTGATGATCGTTCACCCGCTTCTCAGTACCAAACCATCTGCATGGACTACCCAAAACCAGCAATCGTTCACTACCCGTCCCACCTGCCATCTCCAACGCCGCGCGTCTACCGTGTCGAACCGCTACCTCAAACCCGAACGCACGCGTGGAGCGCTGCGCGCGAACGGACCGTGCGTCAAGTGGCCCTTGAAGCCGGCGCGGTTCTCGTCCGCGTGCGCCCGGAACGCCACGTCGCCGGTGTGCGCCTCCGCGGCGAAGGCGTTGCTCACCTGGCGGAACGGACTGTTGACGAGCGAGAACGTTCGACGGCCCGGATGGCGTGGGTGAGGGGGTGGGTTTTAGGTGAACACATGATTTTTGGGTTGGAGGTCTAGATGGCAGGTGCTGGTGCTGCTGCTGGTGCTGGTGCAACACAGCATTTGAATAGCGGATTTATGGGAGAAGAGTTGCCGTAATGGGGTCGTAGATGGGGAACATGTGAAACATTGTGAAACCGTGTGCATGAAAATGCATGAAACGGCTTCATGAAACTATTCCATGGTCTCGGTACCACCTGAAGATATTCTCTTAAACACGTGCTTCTTTCAAGCTTTGGTGCTTACCAGCATGTTCAGGAGCGCGCTAGCGGTTGTTGGATTCCAGGAACTCTGGAAGAAACAGGAGGAGTGAACCTCGAGCCAATGGCTCCATTGGAACACTAGTGGCTACCATGGTGCCCAGCATCCAGTTTTGGCGACCTTGATCCAATATTTCGACATGACCCCAACCAACTCAAAATGTTCCGGTTCCCAACATTCTTTCAACTCTGGAGAGTTTCAATATGCTTTCACTGGTCTTTGCCAGCCGATCTTCTGTTTGGTGTGCACTGAGCAACTAACACTTTGCCCACATACAGATCTACAGTCATCACCGCTTCAACATTGGGTGCCCCGTCAACCACTGTTGGATCACCTGATAAAACCACTGCTGGACTTGAGGAACATCCTGGACAGGAAGCTAAAATGAACTTTTGGGTGTAGTACGACGGCGGCAGCACACATAACATCACGAAACACAGTGTGACACGTTTTGTTCACTGTCTCTGGGTGAAAAAAAGCTATGGCATGCTATGGAAAAAGTGAAAAAAAACGCAACAAAACAAAACCAAAACCAAAACAAAAAACCACAACGCTATGACCTGGTAGTTTCAGAGACTACTACCCGTTACTACCCCAAGGCCGGCCCAAAGCCTCCCATCCTCCTTCTCTACCAAACATCCCATCCGTTCGGTCACCGCGACTTCTACGAGGCGCATAGGTGTGGCTACCGCAGGAGAGGTCCAACCAAGGAGAGATCAAGGCCTGACTCATGCAGAAACGGATCGATTCACTGCGGATCGATGGGCCGATGGATCGATGGCCGTTTCAACCGATTCGAAGTATCGAAATCCCCTTCATTCTTGAAGAAGTCTTCTATAAGTCTTTCCTTCTCTCAATGGAACATCATTTGGAAGGGATGTTTCAAAAGGTCTGATGCTGCTGATTCCGACTTAAAGTCATGGTTGAGCATAGTTATTCTATGTTATTCTACTCTGTATCGATGCCATCCTTCAGCATCGTTTGTTCTACTCGTCACGCCGATCCGAACGCGGCCGCCGCATGTGTCGGATGAACGGATGTCGCAGTCGCAGTCGTCGTCGTCCACGATCAAAAGAATGGGTCCAGCTCCGAGTGCTGGGATCCTGATTGGTTCCAATTTAGTCTAGGAACTTCCAATTTAGTGACTTCACTGCGCAGCTGCGCAGCAGAGAAGAGCAAAACTCTACCCCAAACAACCAGGAAGACCTTCCAGTCGGTCCCAAACAACGCTGGATCGGACTGCAGAGTCGGGCCATCCCTCCCTCCTCACTGCAGGTCAGGGGAGTTCCTTCGTTCGTAGAGTGTCCCTTCGTTCCTTCGTTCCTTCGTTCAGGTGAACCCGGTCACCGTAGGGTCTCCGTAGGATCTCCCGGTCACCGAGTCCGTCCGTCCGGCATGTGCTGTGAGACGGACGGGGGTGCTATGCGTCTCAGCGCAAGCTAGACAACTTGGAACACCCTTTTTCCAAACGCTCCAACTCACGAACGCAAGGAAGTGGTGAAGCACCAAAATTCGGATTGATATAACATAATTTAACGAATTATAACGGCATATATATATATATAACCTTGCCAAAAGCATCAAAATGCAATGCAAGACAATTCAAGAAAACACATACTATCCAGCCACAAAAGCATCAATTTAGATACGGCCCATGGAACATCATGTAACTACCAATTAGTAAGCCCTGATTCAAATTGTCTGCCCAAGCGGCAAGCCCCCTGATATTTAGCTCGCGCTCCAGCGAATCGTCCGAGAGGATTTGCAGCAGCAAGGACAAGGCCTTGTGGATCCGGCTGAAAGGATAGTGATACGACGCTTGCGTCTCGGTGTTTGAGGTCATCTACTCATGTCAAATGTCGCCTCTGAACTCCTTTTGGTTCAGCTTCACCTAGTTTCACTGTCTAGGTTGCCTCTTACACGTCTTGAAACAGGGAGATCCCAGATAGATTTGCCGGGTTCGGTTCGGGACATAGATGTATCTACCCAGCGACGCTTCGGCGGCGAAGGCGATCGGTCTCCCGAACACCCAACGACGCCAAGCTGGTCGGAGCATTGGTTGAAAGATGTTGAAAGCATGAGCATGTCAGGATGTCAATGATGAATAACCCCCACCAAATCGTGGATTGCAAAACCAAAGTCACAAGTCGCGGGGTTGAAAAATCATTGAGAGTTTACAGTAGGTGGACGCATCCGATCATGTTGACTCTTGCTAAACCCCCCAGAGCTCATCCTGGGCAACCTGGCAGAAAATCACCACTTGAACTCACCAGTCACCATCCTCAGCCGAGTCACCATAGCCACTAATCCCACCTCACCATACATCACCAACCGGCCTCTACCAGAATTCGACCTCGTCACCTCATCCGCTCGTCTCGTCTTCGACCTCGCCCCCCCCCATCGCCGCTCCGCCGCCGTCGCCGCGGACCGCGGTCGGCGCCTGGTTGGCGCCGGCCGAATCGCCGGCCAGTAGCAGCGAGGCCGGTGCCGTACGCCGCTCGAGGGCGACGGGATCGAAACGGCTCACCCAGCGGAGTCCTGGGTGAAACGGGTTCCGAAGCGGAGAACGGGTGAAACGGTGAATGCACATGATGCTAAAAGTACCTTAGTAGGCATCAGAAGCATCACTTTCGACAAGAATTTGAAGGTCTGATGTCTTGGGGGTTTAATATCCCATTGAAGAGCTGACCGTGGGCGGAGGCTTCACATGCTTGGCCCCACGCCAATTAGTCGCCTTCAGTCGCGTGGACCCGCGACGAGCGGGTTCTCCAGTCCTTTCATCAGCGCAGCGAGGATCTCGGGTGCCTTGTAGGGCCTCCGATCCCCTGAAAGCGGATGGTCGCAGCACACCACGATCTGCCCTGGAGAGGAGGGGGGCGGAGGAGGGGCGGATGGCCAATGGCATGTTTTTTTCTTTGTTTTACGAAGAAAGCGGCTAAGAGCAGGATCCAACAAATGGAGAGAAGGAGCTAGAGGAGGAGCGTTTGTCCACCTGACAAGAAGCCAGCTTGAATGGATTTGCATCGATTTGTAATATTTATATATGTTCCTGTTGCTTAGATAAGATATGCTATATATATATATTATATAATGATAATCGTGAAGAAATCAACCGTCAAATTGACCAGGCCAAGTCGTGCAGGTCCCTCTCAGTCAGTTACTCGTTGAGCAGAACCCAAGAGTTCACCCCCCGACCCACCCAGTGAGTTCACCACTGGAAAACATCACTGCTTTGGTTCACCATTGGTTTGTAGGAAGAAAACACACCTGTTCTTCGGTGGATCGGGCCGCCCCCTTCATGCCACGCACGGCGACACGGAAAGAGCCTGATCCACTCGCCAGTCTGGAGCACAAGGAGTCATAGCCATCCTCCCGTGGGCCGCCCCACTCGAAGCCACCGCCATGGACGAAGAATATGCCTGGAGAAGCTGAGAAGCTGTCCATGAGAAAAGAGCCCTTTGGTACAAGGGGCCAGGGGGCTGGGAGGTGGCTTTGAGTATTTGTGGCTCTCTTGCAAAATGGCTTCAAATGTACATTGGATTTGTCTGTTGAGGTAGGTAACATGCTGCGGAGGTAGGTGAAAGAGTGAGTTGCTGGCTGCTACTGCCGATGTCCATTGATGGGGGACTTGAAGACGTCCTCAAAGCAGAAACTGGTCGTGCTGGGATACCTGTAATTTTGAGCAAACATGAAGAAAGTACACTGTATAGATGAAATTAGATGAATATCATGGATCCCCTCCAAAGGATTGAAGCTTGAACAAGTCTCATCATGCTCGCACATGTGAACAGCATATGCACACATCGGCTCCTGGAGTTTCCTGCATGTGTTGTTTGCTGTTTAACACGATTCCCTGGACTGATTTTCAGCACCCTAGTGTTGGGATTGCATCAGGCCATTGCTAAAACTTATTCCAGAAACTCCCATGTATGCCATATATGCCTACATTGGGGTGGTTTTGGAGGTCAATGTAGGCATATATGGCATACATGGAGTGTCTGGGATTGATGTTTTGAAGATCAGAAACAGTTTGATCCACGCTTTTACGGGTACCATTGATTTTCCCGGTTCCTGTGTAAATCCCCGAAACTGAGGAACATGTTTAATGTCCTTTTCCCGAGTCCTCAAGTAAAACGAAACAAACCCACCGGGCAGGGGGTTTAATGATGGAGAAATAGATCTGATGGAACATATGGAACCTCCTGATGAGGCACCCCAAGCAACATGCAAAAATGCAAAACACATGTTTCGTCTTCGATCTCGGCACCACTAGGTTAAAGTCTTTCGCTTTTACCGTTACCACTGACTCTACTGCGTGTATGCAGTCAGTGTCCCCCTTTGTGCGAAGTCGTGACGGACAACCCAGTACAACTGGGATAAACTGGGTAGATGTCTCCAGCTTAACCAGGCTCCTCACTCGCCAAAACACATGGCGAGTTAGCACCAGCACTTTTGGGAATGAAGGCCACAGCACCACCGCGCGTGGCGTCCTAAGTGACGGGGGGGCTGTCCCAGATCCGAGCACGACAATTTTTTTGGGGGAGGACTTTTGACTACAACGAGAAAGACTCACCTTGGACACCAAATTCCATCTATGGCCAGAAGCTGTAGTCAATTTTTATGCGCTCCTTCACTTACTTACCCAAACCTTTTGGGGTAAAAAAAACAAAGAAACCATATAAGAAACCGATCCGTGGACCCGTGGGGGCTCGTGCACCTCAAGCAGTGGTGATGCCTGGCTCGTTCGGATGACTTGTTCGTTCTGAAGTCTCCAAGTTGGCATGGCTCATGACGTAAGCTTTGCTAAGCTTGATGGATTATGGCATCACGAGGGTTTATGGGTTTGCCAGGGTTGGCAGGAATTCGTGGTGCCCAAGCGCATCGGCACTGGTGCATTCAGGCATCCTGGATCCTGCAAGTCAACCAACCTCTAAATAGGGTCACAAAGTGACCAACCACGTGTTGAGACACCTCACAAGGAGTTTGTTTCCAGGATCTCCCCCCCCTTTTGGTCACCCCGTGGATTGGACATTGGATAGCGCCTGATTGTCCATATCCCAGACACTCCATGGGACTGCCATATATGCCGCACCAATTGACCCCCCCCTGGCACCACCACCCCAATGGGGCGGCAGTCCGGCAGTCCCATATATGGCAGTCGTGTCTGGGTCGAATCATCGGACGAACTCGCTGTTTTTTCACCCGAAACCACCACCAACACCACCACCAGCACCAGCTCCAGCACCACCTTGTTCGACTGCTCAGCCGGTCGACGGTCCGGTCCGAACCGAGCCACGTCGTTCCAGGTATCGGTCCACACGGGCCACTCCGCCTCACAGGCGGCGCGGGGCGGCCGCGAGCGAAGCGCCAGGTGTTCGGTGTTGGGAGCTGAGCATCGGATTTCTTCATGAAAGGCTGCAGTTGTTGGACATGTTGGCCACTGTCATGTCAACAACAGCACCGTTTTGACGCTTAAGCTTCCTTATTTTTGGTATACGATTGCTTTGTCCTGTAGCTCCATCACAGCACTTGAACATCATGTGACATCACTGGCGCACTTCGCGCCTCCCCTTTGTCTTCTGGGCCCTTTCCTGCGGCAGCTTGGCTGTGCAGTTTGAGTGCATTCACCACGTCCCACACCCTCGTTAGGATGGGTTCCACGTGAGACATGCAAAGTGTAGAAGCGAGCAATGAGGCATCACAGCATGAGGGGTGGCATTTCGACCAACCGACAGAGGCCGCGGGCCGCAGAACACCAAAAACCCCTCCAACACAACAACTCTTCCTTGAAACGGGAAGAAGCACGACTGGTTTCTGCTCAAAACATCTGCTCGTCCATCTTCTTCACTCCGAACTTCTGGACATTTCATGGGCTCCCCAAGTGGAACATGGTGGAACCCTGGCGAGGCCGATCACTGCCCCAGCACTGCCCCTGCCCCAGCACTGCACGCGGAAAGCAAAGCCATTCATCCGCACTTTTTTGGCCTGTTGAAGGGGGGCTGGGATCTTGCGTTGAGATGTGTTTAGGAAAGACATAAAGACATGAATAGAACAACAATCTATTCACATGGAAGGAAGAGCGCTCTTGGCTTCATTTGGGCTGCAGCATGTCGCCTGACCTGGTTTTCACCGGGCAGCCGACCATCCAGGCAAACCTTGGGCAAAAACACACCTACAAAACCCCAGCAACCAGGTGAGTCTCTATTTGAGCTATACACCATGCTACACCTACCTTCATCCAACTTCTCACATCTTCTCTCAACCCTCCCAACCCTCGAAAACCCTCCCAACCGCTGCGGACCGGCCGACCCGGAGAGGGCGGACCGCCCAGACCTGCCATGAGCTCCACCATCGTGACGTCTGCTTCAATGCCGCGCTGCAGGTGCGAGTCATCCTTCTCCGCCTTGGGTCGCCGGGTCGACGGCATCGGGGCATTTCCCGGAGTGGTCATGGGGTTTGAAAGGACCCACCCCTGATCTATACAGCAACTATACCGTGTTCAGGGCAGCAAAAGAGTCCACTGCGTGGTCTTCACTCTTGAGGATTTCCTTCAGGTTTGTGAGGAAGTGGGCGAACTGGTGTTCTGTATATGGTGCAATGATATGGTGTCCATTTGTTGAGGCAGCACACATGCGATCACCTCTCAAAGCTGCGATGTCCAGCGGTGCACACCGAGAAAATCAAACCCGTCTCGCCCCGGTTCCCGACCCGAGTCCGACCCGCGACGGCCGGCGGAAGGCACACTACCGCTCCGAGTCCGACGCCGCGCGCCGACGATGCGTTCGTCGATGCCAAGTGTCCACGAAGGCTTCAAACAAAATGGCCAGGGCCGACTGGTCGCGCAAACGTGCAGCTTTGGTGTCGGGCGCGGCGCCTGCGGCGATTGGACTGATCCCCTTTTGTGGGATGGACATCCTGAAGAAGAAGTGCCACTGAAACGACTGTTGAAGGCAACCTGCATATCTGCACAAATTCTAATGTGTTGGATAGTTTGATCCCACTAGACAGTGGGATTTCTACATTGTACCTTGCGCAGAGTGTGGGAGAGGTTATTTTGTTGAATCAACCGTCTATACCACTGCCGGGGTGGTTGATGGACACCCCGAATCACCTCTAAGGAGCTATCAATGGAACCCCCTTAGAGGATCCTGGTATATTATCAACTGTTGAATGTCCAAGGTTTCGCAAGCTTGCAGTATAATCAAAACAAGTACACCCGGGAAGAGGCCCACATGGAACCTGATGGCATGGACCAGACTGGAAGACTATTGTCCTCTACAAACCATTTCAGGTTCCATGTTAATTTTCCAGAGCGTAAATATGAATTCGCAAAATGGCCGTGGGGCAACATTTGGGCACCGTAGTTCACTACGCCCTGCTTCATGTGCAGACTCGCAGCCAAGTATGCTCAACTCCCCCTGACATTCCCCTGACAACCTAAACCAAAGAGCTTCATGCCGCAAGGATCTGCAATGCATGCCCCTCTTTGAAATCAATATAGTACACACATATTATAGCAGCGCAACCAACTCTTCACACGGAAAGAACATGAAAGAACCACAGCAACTTTCACTGATTCGATCCTGGTCCCCAAAAGCCCAGTGCCTGGCACTTCTTCAGCTGGCTCAGGGTCCGGTCCAACCGCCATCGAGCCCGCAGGCGCGGGACGCGTGCAAAGGGAGAACATCTGCGGAACGGGGCGCAGTTCTGCCGGCTCTTCAAGCTGAGATGGAGAGGAAGGACCGGTGTTCTCGGTGTTCGGGCTTTCCACACGCCTTTGGGATGAAGTCTCGCTCTGTCGTGTGTCCTCTGAGGTCTCGCTCGGCTGTGTCTCTGGTGTTTGTGTCTCTTCGCGGGCAGGACCTGGTCGGGCACCCGCAGCTGCAGCCGTTGCGGCAGAAAAGGCGCTGGTGGGACCGTGTCGGACCACCCTGGAAGGAACAGCAGCAACTTTTGGAACACTCATCCTCGGATTTGCTGGTGGGGGCTGGAGAAAAACCGACAGATTCACCCAACACGTGGTCCAAAATGACATTTTCCACCTCACAGATATGATTCTATGATCTCTTTGTTTCCAAAGGAGAGCCATCCGAAGTTTGATGCTCCATCTTTAGGGGGAAACCAAAAATCAGATGTTCCATCACATTCCAGGGCTCCCAGGTGGCAGGTGTGGCATGTAAGCGACCGCCCCAGCAGAGTAGTAGATGGGAGCAACCGGCGTGCCAAACACCGGGCGCGCCGCACCCGGGCGCGCCGGACCCGGGCGCCAGGGACCCGGGCACGGTCGGGCACCGCCCAGTGGCTCGCCATAGGTAGGGCGGTCCGGTGAAGATGGAAACATGGGGAGCCCAAGGTCAAAAAGAACAAACACCTAGCGCTTCCTCGTCGGGGTGCCCTCTCTGGAGACCTGTGAGTAAGGTAGTCGAACGCCAGGACACCCATTGGATGACCCTGGTAGTATAGCTTCTTAACAATTGTTACTAGTAGTACGGCCAGGAGCGCCCCGTTCGTAGCGTCCGATCGCTGCGTTCGTAGCGATGCCCTTTGTTACTAGTAGCTTCTTGTTACAGTAGAAAGTATTCAGCCAATCATTGGTTGATGTGGTTTGGAATCTAATTGACCATTCAAAGACATGAACATGTTTGTAAAAGTAGCAAGGCGATGATGGCGAATTGTCTGCTAATTTACAGCAGAATCAATGGCAGAACGATGAGACTTGCTCCGATCTGACCGACTTTGGCTACGTTGGAACCACATGAGAGAGAGAGAGAGAGCGTGGAATGCACATCGTTGATTGGGCCCTGTAGCAAGTGCAATGACCCATTTTGCAAGAACCCCTTGCATCCTCTCAGTTTGAAAGTGACTTGCTATTCCTGTGTGGGTGCAACATGCGAGGTGTACACACAGGAAAATGCAGCCATCCCCCCCCAACAATTTATAGACTCCAACTGGCCCTATTTGCAACTTCCATTATTGTTTCAGTGAGTGTACCTATTTCTTCAGTACGTGACTGAACTTCATCCTCGGGTTGGTTTGAACAAACAGACCTGTCAGTTCGGCAAGAAGGGGAGTGACAAAGAGGAACCCCAGAAAGGTCACAAGAAGCTGGTACATCTTACATACCTCCTCCCAAATCCCAAATCCTCCATACCGCCCATACCCTCTACATTACATCGCATCCCCACCCTAAATGTTTTTACAAATGCACCATAGTAGATCATGCAAGTTATCCGAAATAACTCGTGAATCAAATTCAATCAAATTTTGGGAAGCGTGCCACTGACCAAGCTTGCTTCGATCGCAAGACTCATTTCTGTGATCCACATGATCTGGGTGAGACTCTTCGTCGATCACTTGAGGGGTCCGAAGCCTGTAACTGTAATACATTGCATGTAATAAGAACAAAGTTCGCGTAGACTCTGAGCAACTCTCATTCACTCAAGCCGCCTCCACGGCATCTGGTTACAGGCGCCTTTCCCCGCAATGCGCAATGCGCCTCCCAGTACTGCGACACTAAAATCACCTAAGAACCCACCATCTCATCTGCTCAAACTCAGCGAGTGTGTGGCACCATCCCTACGCCCTCGTTGAGTGAGTCCATCGTGGCAGCCAAGGCTGAGCATGTGAAGCTGACTGGTCTATCAAAGCTCTAGAGGTGACTTCGGATTCAAGAAGGCCAGCAGCGAACCTCAGACTGCAATGATTTATCCTGTGTGGCCTAACCCGCGACAATCCCGAGCCCACACGCGGGTTGACACCGCGCAAGATGAAGGGATCAAACAAAACCCCTCTGGCCAGTCACGAAAAAGGGTTCAGGTGATTGACAATGTCCGACTCTCGATGAGGGACCCTCCAAGTCTTCCACTGAGCTATTCAGACTTCCAGAATTTGTGACCGATGCTTCTTCGAAATCCATCGGATGATGCAGATTGGGCAAGTCGACAGAGTGATCGACGAACGTGAACGGATGAACTGGAAAGGCCAACCCACGGCCAACCCCTGAAAACTCAGCGCCGGGACATCTGCGGTGAGAAGCAGAACCATTGAAGTTCTCATCGTCTGTTCCAGGTCCAACCCAACTTGATCTGCTGCAACCACACCTGCCACGAACAGAACTATGTACAAATGCCGCCCGTCCGCGGCCGGTTCATTGACAGAAGCGATCAAACCTGGGTGAAATGCAGGAAACCAGAGCATCCATGTATGGACTATAGTTAATATAACATATACTGTACTCATTTATTTACACCAGGGAAATGACCCAAATATAGCCAAATGTCAGGAACTATTCCATACATTCTGGGGAATGAGGTTTGGAAGTCATTCGCTGCATCTGGGTGCCCCAGCGCGCAAGAGACCAAACTCCACAGGTGGCCAAGATGATTGAGAAACATCTTTACATCATCAGCTTCCGAGACGGTCATGCCTGAACGTTGTCTTCCACGACTTCACCACCTCTAACATTGGGTAATCCCTAAGCCTAAGCAATTTCCAAAGAGAAATCCTTCGTTCGTCGCACGTCCCGGCGCCATCGCTGCCAAAGGCACAAGAATCACCTTTTTCCACTTCAATCGAGACCTCGAAGCTGGAGGCAGCTGGGTGGTGTTCGAGAAATCCCAGTCAGATCCTCAACAGGTTGCCCCTGTTTTCCAGGTGGCGGGTGCAGTGACCCTCCTTGGTTGCTTTTGGTAAAAGATATTTTTGCTGGAGGAGTTGTGTGACCCCTACAACCTTGACGATATTACCCAGCTGATTCAAGGTACCCGACCTGAGCAAAGTCCTAGGATTAAGACCTCGTGCAAATCCGTTTTGTCACATTGTTTGGATCACTCAGATTCTTGGCGGAGGATTCCAGTATCTTCCCGGGCCCGTCATGGGGATGATGGAATAGCTTGTGAAAGCAGTGGATCTCAAAGCTTCTTGGAAACTGCATGAGGTCACCAAATGAGTGCGCTTGATCGGAATTGTAATCAGAACGAACAACATACACATTATATAGGTCCAGGGGCCGGGGTCACTATGAAAATGCCAACTCATCATGTCAGTTCCAAAGTCTAAGATGTAGTCTAAGAGCTCTGGAGCTTCATTTGGTTCCTGGTTGCTTCAAGAAGATATCCGCTTAGGATTTGCTGAAATTTGCCATGAGTTCATGTGGCATGCTTTCATCGCGACAAAAAACCGCAGGCGAATTCACCATGGATCGACATGTGCACCGAAGAAAAACATGGTGGCTCAGTGATTAACCTTGCAACTTTCAGATGATCTACTATAGTGGCCTACCTACTCAAATGTAAATGACTCCGCAAATCATGCTGCGAGATGACTCCTGTCAGTCCTGTGTCATTGGGACTTCGAAACACCTCTCTCACTCAACCTGGGCTACGAGCGCGCCGACCTGCGCTGTCTCAGCTGTCTCTGGGCCAACCCAACTCAAAGTCGAAGCTCACTTCGCGGATCAGCCTCGGGCGGCTCGGGCGAGTTCGCATCTCACACGGCGGAGGGATCGAAGGGATGTATCGCGTGAGAGGCGACGATCGTTACGCGCATCTCACAAGGTTCCAGGTGATCCCTGCTGTGTTGTTGTCATTTTTTTCATATATCAATGCGAAGAACAAGGCCTTGCAAGGATCAAGGAACATCTTGCCACAAAGAGGGAGAACTGAAATGCCTAGCTGCTCACTGTTAAACACGTGTTACATAAATACATAAATGGGGCAATCAAATAGACCCACGCCCAAGCCATGACAAGCCCGACAAGCCGTCTCGATCATCAAAGATCAGCAAAAGATCGGCTGATAGCACTTTCAGCTCTTCATCGTTATGCCAGTTGGTGCTGTTGCCTGGACCAACTTCCAGCACCGGCAACACCCAAACGGTGGCACCAATCTACTGTATCTTGGCCTCAAAATCTGCTTGGCGCCCAATCCAAAGACAGAATGTGCAATCCCTTGCGAATTTGCTACTTTTAGAGAGTCCCCAGAACCTGAACATGGAAAGACCCCCCTGAACGACCACCAAATCTTCATCTTGTCCGAGCTGAGAACATTTGACATATTGAAGCCCCCTTTACATGACCCGGGGTGCTCTTTGGTGTGCTCCGGTTGATACCAAGGCCTTAAAACTTCCTGGTTGATGAGAACGTGCCATATGAGATGACTTGTTCATCCAAGATCCAACAGCTAGTCATCCCCGCCAAAATCCACCACGGAGTCGCTTGTGCACCGCCATTACATTCTTGCAAGTGCCCGTCCACCGCAAAGCAGCGCGCCCTCTGCATGGTGCCCCCACTGGGTAAGCTGATGCAGTCGAACTTCAGAAATGTGAAGTGGACGGGAGAGGTTGTACCTCAGTGCAGATTGTCATCCAAATGATCTAACTGGACATGACAATCAACTGGGTGATTCTTGGGTACAAAATCGCTCATGCCTCATATCCAAAAAAATTGTATACAATAGACAGCGCGGGCAACCCGGCCTGCTATTTCGCGACCAGCCGGCCGGCCGGCCAAGTAGTAGTAGTAGTAGTAGGAGTAGGAGTAGTAGTAGTAGTAGTAGTAGTAGTAGTAGC